TGGCTAAGGCGTTGGCTTCGGAGCCCAAAGTACCCTGGTTCGCCTCTGACCACCGGCGCATTGTGTCTCGGTCCCCTCGGCATAAGAATCGCAACTCCGATAGGTCTGGCACTGTAGCGCATCGTTGAGTAACTCGAACGATCCTTCTTCCGACGTACTGTTTTTTTGTTTTCGTTTTTGCTTAATACTCGTCATTAGGTAACCAATGGCGATCGGTCTGTCCGCAGATCATGATAATGATACTTCTGGCCTCATTCCTGATGACGATGAAGATGAAGAACGCACGTACCTCCCCGACCCACGGCCAGCAGCGGACACGGACGAGGACGAGGACCAGGACATGGACGAGGACATGGACGAGGACGAGGACAAGGGCAAGTCCAAGGATATGGACGAGAACCAGGATATGGAGGAAGTCAAAGACGAGAACGAGGACGAGGACCAGGATGAGGCCCAGGTAGCCAAGAACAGCAGTAGGGCTTCCGGCGAACACAGTGTCTCTGTTGAAAAATCTCCTAAAGCAAGAAAGCCATCCCTAAAGCGGAACGTTTGCCCCTATTGTGATACCCTGCACACAAAATTTGCACGCCATCTTTTCCGGAAGCATAAACGAGAACCCGACGTACTTGACGCGCTCGCCTTTCCAAAAGGATCAAGGGAGAGGAGAATCACTCTGGAAGGTATCATTCATAAAGGCAACTTCAAACATAACTGCTGTTTTCCGAGATGGGCGAGGAACGATCGTCCCCGGGAGGCGTCCACCCCAAGATATGAATGTCAACGTGAAAGATATGCTGCCATGTGGGAAATTTCACGGTGTCTTTTCTAGACGCGGTCTCTTTCGGCATCGGTGCCACGCCCATGGGAAAACTGCCTCTGGGGGCCGAGTCCAGTCCCAGGCAAGATCCTTGCTGCCGTGCCACAGAGATGCCGCGGCTGGTTTAGAAAACCTGATTGCGAAGATGCGGGACGATAGTATTTCGTCCACTTGCAGGCATGATGCCTTTATCATGGAGTTCGGGGCCCGTCTATACACAAGATTGGGCCACGAGCGCCACTAACATGCACACATCAGAGAAAAAATGCGGCAGCTAGGACGACTGCTGCTGGAGCTGAATGTATCAAGCCCAGGATCAGGTCTAGATATGTTTATTCACCCCGCGAAGTTCATGGAAGTGGTAGGCGCGGTCAAGAACATGGCCGGTGTGAAGGAGGGCAAATATCATAGCCTATCGCTTGCTCTCAAGCTTGGTTATGGCCTCAGCGAATGCGCGCGCATACTGAAAACGCGCGGGATCACCAACGAAGACGCCACCCCGAGGACGGCTGCGGACGATTTCCTCCTGCTCTACCAACGAGATTGGAAGCTACACGTGTCTTCTCGTGCGCTTACCACTCTCTAGGAAAGGAAGTGGAATAAGCCCGTCGACCTTCCCCTCAATGCGGATGTTCAGAGTGTAACGAAGGAGGTGCGGGATGAGTTGGTGCAGGCTCAGCGGCTGTTGGAAGAGGAACGCTCTATCAAGAACTATGTTAAATTGTCGTAGACTGCGTTGGCATCCATCATTTTGTTTAACCGGCGAAGGCCGGGAGAAGCGTCAAGGCCTACGGTCAGATCATACACTGAAGGGGACCAAACTCTCAATGAAGATGTCCTGCAGCACCTGTCTCCCTTAGAGCGAGAGCTGTGCCATTCGCTGGGAGATATAGTGGTTCGGAGCAAAAAAGGAGGCGATGTGCCCATCATGCTGACAGCCACAATGCGAGGGGCGCTTGATCAGCTGATCGCAGCGAGGAAAGACGTTGGGATCCCTCTCGACTGTCCACACATTTTCTTCAACAGCGCAGCCCCAGTTGCGAGCACGCTCAGAGGCAGCGACTGCGCGCGGACATTCGCGCGGAGGGCACGTGTCAACAACATCACAGTCACGAAGTACAGAAAGCATGTGGCTACTATGCTGCAGCTGCTGCAACTGAGCGAGATTGAAATGGATATCGTGGCCCGCTTTATGGGCCATGACATACGTGTCCACAGGCAGTTCTATAGACTTCCCGAAAAGACGGTGCATGCTGCCAAAGTGAGTAAAATACTACTCGCGATGGCCAAAGGGATCGGCGGATTCGCAGGGAAGACCCTGGATGACCTGATCCCAGCAGTTACGATGTCGTCGAAGGTGGTTCCGCTCCCAGTGTCGACATAAACGACAGCGCTAGCATTATTGCCCCTGACGACATGGGAGTGGAGATGGGGGTGAAGAACGCTAAAGAGATGGCTTCCGATCCCCAAGCTGAAGCAGAAAACGGACCACCCAGGGGGCCAAGGATTAATGAAAGAAGGCCCAAAGCCAAAAGGAGGGGCGTGCTGTGGACTGAAAGAGAAAAGAAGGCTATGCAGAGGCGCATGAAGCCATTTATCGGTTCTCTGAAGTGCTCAGGAATGGCAGACTGCCTAGCGGCACTGAAGGAGAAGTCTGCACTGTGCCGGCGTTCCTGGAAGGATGTTAAGTTCTGTACATACAATGTGATCCAGAAGCACAAGTGTACCATGGAAATGTAGTTTCAGCTGAAAGCTTGGAATGCTCCATATCTAGATCCCCTGCTGCGTTGTGTGCAATCGCAGCCTTGCGGTGGCAATGTTCTTTTACCTGCAAGCTCGAGAGGCTCCGGACGTTAGATCCTCTGTTGTGTTATGTTGCAACCCCTGCTTTGCGGTGTGGTTGTTTGATCCGTTCGCAAACAAACTAAGAAACCTTTTGCACAAGAGTGTGTTTGTGGTGGACTGTGATCGGAACTGATGGATTTGCTGTCTCATGCTGCCCTCCCCACATGGAAATAACACAAAAACTTAAAACGAATAGCAGAAAGTCCGCGTCGGGAGACCTCAACATTGCCTCACAGATTGCAGTAGTGACCTATGTCAAGAAGTTTGAAACCGATTTTGTGACCTGCATAGCTGACTGACCTGACCTGCCCCAGATCGTCGTCGATCTGGACTCGTCGATCGTCGTCGATCAGGACTATCGATTGATCGTGGTTGTCGTCATCATTGGGGCTTTACGACGCACTCACCTGCTGAGGTCATATGACGTCGCCTGACTAACCAAGGCAGTGATTTGTTATTGTGATTGTTCTTCATCTATGCCGTGGGCTGGTCAGACAGGTACCGGCCAGGTACCGAAGACAGGGATAATGAAAAGACAGCGGAAGAACTCGGAATGTTGAAAAATGCATGGAGGTTCAGATTTTTGTACTGTTCTCATTTTACGCATTATTCATACTTTGAAATCAACCGCCTTAATGTGATGTAATACCACATAGTTTGGCAACTTTTAATTCGCACACAATGTTATGCGTCCTGTCTTGACAAAGTTTTGGCGTCAACTTGTTGGAAAAAGTTTCGAACGCAGACGAAGAGACATAATTTGGACTGTAATGAACAAGGCATAACATGTAGCATAAAAGTAGGCATAAGAAGTGAAAATCATCTGTTGCAAACCGAAAAATTGCGTGTAGCTCTTGCCATGCGTCAAATATAACATAATATAATACAATATAATCAAATATAACAATATAATGCAACATAATGGGAACATCACATAACATTACAATAAGCTACAAATATAGCAGTATATACTGCAATATAATGCAGATATAACAATATAATACAATGTAATACAAATATGACATGATATAGCACAGATCGACATAAATATCACGGCTCCTTCCAAAACAAAGGATGTGCAGGCAAGGCATCAGCACCCATGTTCCATTTCCATGTCAGTTGGTTCGCCAACGTGACCGAAGTGACGTTATCACCCAAATTCCCTTCCTTTCCATGTCATGAATGAGGGCAATTTAGATACACATTACAATGCGGAGACCGGTCCCTAGCTTGCTAAGTGTAAGGCGTATGACGCACCTTTGACGTCATATTAGCTGGTCCCCGCTTCGCAGCATCCTACGGATATTGATCCCTTATCGCTAGACCTACGAAATGCTTACCATCGCACTCTTCGGGTTTTCAGCAGCACTAAGATGTTAATTTCGTAACGCTAGCTCATGTTTAAAGAGGTGTGTAAGTGGTCCCCACTCTGTAGTAGTCCAGCGCGGTCCCCACTTGGGAGGGCTTACAAACAGGTGTGTGTGTGTGTGTGTGTGTGTGTGTGTGTGTGTGTGTGTGTGTGTGCGTGGAACGTTCATTTGACCTTCAGTTTGGCCTAGAAGCGTGACCTTGAAGGTTCAGGAGGTTTTAACTGACGCTAGTTTATACGCTGGTGAATATCAAAATGCTTGAAAGTCCGAAATCGCCTGCAGCTTTTGCATTACGTATAGTTCCCAGGCACTTGGTCATTAATGTGATTATGCAGAATGACCTTCAAAACACAGGACTCTTCCACGGGCGCTAGTTTATGTGCTGGTAAATATTCGGATGCTTTGACTTCCGAAATCATCTAGAAGTAAAACGACCATTTTCAGGCAAACATACCTGGGCTAAAAATGGAGCCCGCATTCTCCAAAACTTGGATGGGTTGCAGTAGGATGCAACCATCGGCATCGCAAACGGGTGAGGAAAGTACGGAGGCCTCCCTGTAACACTGTATGGCCAAGAACTGCATAAACTACGCAGGTCATTGGCTGAACCCCTGTGCGTCCAACCTTGTAGCAACGCTTGCGGGGGGCGGGGGCGGGGGGAGGGGATTTATGGTGTACTTTGCGTGCCAGCGAGTGTAAGGTAGCCATAGGTTAAACAAAGCAATTCACCATGCGGTGACTTAAATTGTTTAACCTTCACCTTGCCGTGGATGTACTATGGAAGGATTCTTTTGTAGATGCGTCGACTTACTTTTGTGTGAACATAACGGTGTGATCGTCTTTCGCAGCGCTCTGGCGGTATATTCCGATCTACATTTTGGTCTGGTGTAAATTGGGTGAGCGAGCTTCCTATCGCAGCTATGCTTATTTACTTAATGCGGACACAACAGTGTGACCGTCTTTCGCAGCGCTCTGGCCACCGCTCTCGTCCTGCCACCTGACGGCAAAGTTACTGCCTGTGACGTCACAGACAAATGGTTGAACAAATATGGTCGTCCAGTATGGCGAGAGGCCGGTGTGGAGAACAAAATCGACCTGAGGATCGCCCCAGCCACCGAAACTCTTCAGGTACGAATTCAGACTTCATACAGCACTCCTGAAGGTGCCGCAACATAGACGTTTTAGTGCTTACCATGCACCCATATCGCCTGCTGTAAGGCAACCCCACAAATAACTTTCAACACCGAAGCCAATATGAGGCCGCCTACCTGTGTCATGGCCGGGTCACGCTCCAGTCGAGACGTTGAATCGCGCAAAAGTCCCTGCCGACACCCAGCTGGGGTACCAAGCTTTACCGCGTACATGGCGCCTCACCACACGTGACAGGCTGAGGACGATGGGCCAACGCAGGCAGGGGCGCAGCCAAGGGAGGCCGTGCCTTAGACGTGGATTTTTTCGTTTTTTACCCTAGAGGGCTCCCGATACAGAGTTAAGAGTCGGCGTGATGCATGCTGACTGAGCCTCGGACACCACACTGAAGAAAATCCGGGCTGCGCCACTAAACATAGGTATAAACGTTGCGTCTGTCACTTTCTAGGTAATCTAGACAGGTAGTGTCGCGACTTTTGCTCGGGATCTGGGCGTAACGAATCATTGTTTTCGTGATATCAAAGTTATAGCAAGTTCAGATAAGAATGATGTAAATAACTGAGTTTGAACATCGCAACACGACGCGACACAATCACAAGATTTAAGCATGCAGACACTAGCCAGTACGTTTGATTTGCTCACTGTGCGCAAACTTTCCGCTAACAGCATATCGATCAGTGGAGCTTCAGGTTGCCTCGGGCTCATATTTTACTCTGATTTTAATAAAAGAGTGGACTAAGAGTGGACTGGTCCACGGCAGAGTGGACCAGTCCACTCTCTCCTAACACTCGGTGCTCTTCTCGCTCTTGTCGACGTAGCTGACCGCCATACCGATTGACACGTTAGTGACACGAGATGCTCAACTGTTCTGCATCGTCTCAGAAGCGGCTGGCGCATGGCTGCCGAGCCCGGCGGGCGGCCCCTGTGTCCCGTTCCGGTCTGTCACCCGTTCCCGGGCAGGCTCTGATCAACGGAGGCGAGGCTGGCACCTTCGACTATGCCTTCATCGACGCCGACAAGACCAACTACCTCAACTACTACGAGTTAACGCTGCAACTGCTGCGCGTTGGCGGCATCCTGGTCGCCGACAACGCCCTCAGAGGCGCCAGGGTGCTGGGGGATGAGGACGCCATGGACGAGAACACGCGCACCATCCACGAGATGAACAAACGGGCCTCCTCAGACCCACGAGTCCACGCCAGCCTGCTCAACCTTGGCGATGGCGTGTTGTTTTGCCGACGCGTCAAATAAGGCGTGGGCAGTAACGCTGGTGACGAGAAGCGGTAGATTTGGGAGCAGAAGGGGCAGCTGTCCGCCCACATCTGCGGAAATTTGGCTTTGATTGTATGCGAATGTATTAACAGACGTAATAGTTTTAAAAGCCGTCTTCCAAATGAACTGTTAGCATACGCATTCAATTTTTGGTAAATATACGACCCTATGCCGTACATTACCTCTTCCCCTCTCAACTCTAATTGGTTGTTACTACCTGCATTGATAACGCCGACCCTCACGCTCTCCTCAGTTCTACATTATCTCAACATACAACAACAAAGCCAACAACCACGTGCTCCCGATCGTCCACCTGGTTGTACCACAAATATTATGTTGAGCGACACATCAACATATATTGAGGGTTGTTTTCCAGCTTGAAAGTGAAAAGTGTGTGAAGGTGCACTATTGAGGATGACAACAGCTAAACACACTGATGTGAATGAATGAGGAATGGAGGGCGATGAATGAAAATGAATGAAGGGCAGGATTAAATGAGTGGAAGTCAAAGTAAGTGTCAACTAAAACTTGAAGATGAAAACGAATGAAAAGGATGAAATGCATGAAAAATGGAGGATAAATTGCGTAGCTTCTGGTGGCAGCGTACACTCCCGATGAGCACAGCTTGAAATATGCAATACCATCAATGTAATCGATATTTAGCACTACAACGTAGTTTGACCAATGTCTCATGGTACATTGAAGTTCATTAACACAACAGAAGAACTTTGAATCTGTTCTGCCGAAAAACCAGGAGCTGAAAACTTTTCTTCAATACGCATCCCAGTTGTACACATGTTTGTTGAGAAGGTCGTGCAAGTCCACTGTGATTTCTTTATCTAAGCACACCATGGCAGTACACTCAAAGCTTCCTTGAAAGGCTCCCGTCTGTAGCTGTTATTCTACGTGAAGACGTCGTTTTGCTCCTCCCACGTTTGATGCACGATATCTGTTCTCATTGATCGTGACATAAACCAGGGATGCCAAGTTTTATAAATTAATGGAAGGCCAAACCAAAGGTCCGACAACCTAACCCCCCCCCCCCCTCCTCAATTATTTTCACCGGATTTAGTCAATTTCATTTTGATTAAACACAGTATATATTTTTAATATAAATTTGAGCAAAACCCTTCGAATGTATGGATTTCTGGGATCAGCACTCATGCTAAGCAGTGCTTGTTGTGTGAGCCATGACCCCCAGCATCCGATCGCGCAATCCCAGGCAACGACAGAATTCAGTGGCGAAAGCTTAACGTGCCGCAATGCTCAGCACGGTCCGTCCTGCCCTCTGACGTCAACTGACCTTTAGCGCGACCGTTGTCGCCGGCCGCAAGTCATACCTGCCAAGGGCAAATAGCGAGCGCCCTAAAGCGACTCGAACCCACCATGCCATGGATGGATGGATAGGAATGCAGGCGCTCTAACCAACTGAGCCACCGGGGCGGACATATATGTTTTTAATCTTTGTATAGTTTATAACAGTATTTAATCTAAGCAGTATAGAAGTCATGCAGGGCTGGATCCAGGCAGCAGGCACTGGACGTACGCGTCATTTCTGGGCCTTTTCTGGGGCCCTCACAAAAGAATACGAATCGACACCCGTGACTTAACGTGTTGAGCTACTAAGACATATGTATCCGTGAATCGCGTTCTATTCCAAGTGCTTCACAGAGATGCAACTTTTCACCCCCTGGAAATGGAAAGTCGCTGCTCCGCAGCCAAATCAATAAACGGTACTAGACTGAGTTAGCTGCTCGCAGCCAACCAAGCTGCTCGATAACATCTGAGATGTGATCGCAGCGTCTGGCCCATTGAGTATTTGCCTACAAAAGTTGGCAATTTTCTGTGCGCGAGTAATTTGTGTTACGTCACACGAACCGTACACGCTCATGCAGCAACGAACGATCGATAGAACTAGAGCGTACACAATGCTAGTTTCAGTGCGCATGCAGGAAGCGTGCGGCGGGCGTGGCCAAGAGCGATGGGAGTGCTCGTGCGTTCCGAAGTCGGGGTGCCAATGCGTGTCTGTTTTTCAGATGAGGGTGTAGTTAGAGCGCCAGGCTTGTCGCCGTCCCTGCATTACTCACTAGAGTAGCAGCAGCAGCAGCAGCAGCAGAAGCAGTAGTAGTAGAAGTAGCAGTGTCAGTAGAAGTAGCAGTAGCAGCAGCAGCAGCAGCAGCAGCAGCAGCAGCAGCAGCAATAGCAGTAGCAGTATATTGGAAGCCATCCACATTGTGCCTATTACGGTTTCAGGTCAAATAGCTGCATTATGAAAAGACACGCAAAGGGTATGCAAAAATTATACGAACAGTCGCCATAGGGTAAAACAGGACTCAGTGGACGCACTATGGGGCGGATGAGACCAATTTTCAGTGGTTAAAATCACATCAAGTACGGCTGTCTAAAACGCGTTCAGCGTTAGGGCATGGCGCACGCACGACGGCAGGCGGTTCCAGGTCGCTGCGGCACGATACGAAAACGCCCTCTGCGTGGTGGCCGGTTGATGTTTGCGCAGGTGTAGACTACCTCTGACCGAGGTGCGCGTTTCACGACTCGAAACAGCGGCGCGTGGGACAAAAAGCGTGAGGCGCGCCTACCTCCTTCAAGGCCTCAAACACTTTTATCACGTCGCGGTGCGTCACCATCACCTTGATGCTTGGCCATCCAATGGAATTTAGAGCCGGAGTTAAGTGGTGGTGTTTTTTAGAGCCGGTTATTACTCTTGCAACAAAGTTGACCACTTTTTAAATTTTGTGCGGCTGACTCTTGTTCGCCCTACCCCACACGCTCAGGCAGTACATGATATGAGTGAATACGCACGTCTGGATAATGATTTTGAAAATATCTGAAGTACAGTAATTACGGAATTTGTAGAGAAACGAGGATGCCATTGCATTTTTTCGCGACGCTCGAGACATGGGCACCCCATGACAGACCGGGGTCAACTACCGGGGTCATGACAGACCGGGGTCAACTATGACGCCCATAATTTTGGTGCTAATTGGTGCTAATTTTGGTGCTAATTTTGGTGCTAATTGAGGCATGCCTGGTCAAACCGTGTACTTTAAAGTGAAAATCAGCTGACTTTTTAAATTTTGATTTGACCCAACGAACATAAAATAATTTGTGTTTCGTTCAATTGGAGACAATCGGCCCTGAAGCAGTTCTGAAGCTCGCGCATGGTAAGTTTTCGTCTGGTTTCGATGTCGGCGAAACCCGGTCCGTCAGGGGGTGCGCAGTCCACGGCATGGTGTCGTCCGCGTAGGAGATATGGTGGCCATGAGTCAAGCGTCCAAATAGATCGTTGGCAAACAAAAAATGAAAATAAAGCTGAACCGATGATCGAGCCCTGGGGTACACCGCATGGCATGGGAGGAGTGAGCCGCCCTCCACGCACCGCCTGCCCTCGACCACTCTTAGGGCTTCTAATCATGGCTCCTATGGCTCCTAATCCGTTCCACATCGGCAAGGCCATGCCAAGATAGTTTGGTGAGGAGGAAGTCGTCTTCAGCGCTATCAAATCTCTTCGACAAATCGATCGTCCTTTCCGACGATACAAGACGGTCGTCGGTGTTGGTGACCACGCGTTCGACTGCGGCGAGCACGGCATCCTCGGTCGAGTGACGCGACCTATGGGAATGCTGAGATGGGTGCAGCAGCGCCGTCGCGTTAAACTATTCCGTCAGCCGTGTGTAAGCCAGCTTTTCTAAGATCTTAGAGAGCACGCTGAGAAGCCCGATGACTTGACGTCGGAGCTGGTACAACACATGTCGCCTCCCAGCTATCTGGGGAAAGTTTGGTCACGAGAGACAAGTTGATGCGCTTAAAAGATAAAGACCGACCACTGAAAAACATTCCCGCGCAGCCTGGGGTGAGACCTCATCCAGGCCCACCGCCTGCGATGTTCTGGTACGCTGAGCACACCGTGACAACTCTGGTAGCGTCGCAGGTCGGAACGAGAAGCCAGCGGCGCAGACGGTGGGCGGTCCGGGTTTCTTGGCGCTGGCATTTGCTGCGCTTCGCAGGTCGGCTGCGATGCGGGGCCCACGGCAGCGAAGTGGCGGCTGAGCTTGCTCGCCGTCACCTCGGCCTCCTCGGGGCTCACCGCAGACGCGGCCTCGATCGGCGACGAACCTGCCATGGCAAACCCCTTGAAGGGAAGTCAGAAGCTGCGGCGGCCACCGTGCACTATCTCACCGCAAAGGGACTCGCACCCTGCTGCAATAAGGCGGCTCTTAACCTGATTGCGAAGTCGTGTAAAGTCGGACCTGCTCTCCGATGTGCGAGGACGTGGCCAGGTACTGCGCACCCTGTCTCGCTCGGACGTGAGCTCCCGCGGGCCGGGTCGTCGGTCAGCCAGGGATACTGCGGTTTGGAGACGCGCGTTCTTCTAACTAGGCGGTGGCAGTTTATCACAGCGTTCAACGCAGGCGTGAAGTGCCGCAGGCACGCGTTGACGTCAGTGGCGTCATCCACTACGGACCCAAAGATGCGAGTTACGGGTCAAAAAAAAGTTAAATGGCAAAAGGAAAATGGAATAAAAGTCAAATGCAAAAAGGTAAATATTGAAAAGAATAAAGGGCAAATTAGCCAAAGGTCAAAATGATAGAAGTCAAGTAATAATAATCAAGCAGTTAAAAAGTCTGAAGCGATAAATGTCAAAAAGGTGAAAATCAAAAGACAAAATTCAAACTGACGAAAAGCCACATGAATGAGAGTCAGATAAGATGAAATTCAAAAACGGAATGTTAAATAAAAAACAAAATGGATAAACGTAAAATGGATAGCTGCGAAGCAGGCTATAACAATCTCTTCCCTTCTTTCACAGGGTTTCAAAACACATCGAGAGCCTCTGGTCGGGTGTGCTCAGAAAGTGCTAAGGGGGACGGGAGGGAATGAAGCCCGCCGCGCTCAGCCAGTTGGAATAAGCCATTTATCAGCTCTTTGGCCGCGAGAGAGTGGCATAGGCCGGGTCCCATCTTTGGATCGAAAGGTGGCGCTCTCGGGTAATGGCAAAAGCAGAGGCGTAGTTTCTCAAAATGGGTTGGGAAAGGGCCGAACAGTGAGAAATAAGTCGACCTGCCACGAAAACATTCCAACAAACAAGTCTCTTCCCCGATTTGGCCCACTTTTTCCCCAAGTTGGGGGAGGAGGCTGAAGCCCAAGATGGAGTGATGAAGCCTCCCAACCGAATAGAAAACCATACCCTTGTGTAAGTGTCTTAACTCAAGATGGTTTTTTGTAATGCAATGCAATTTACCTCATCAGCTGTAGACCATTTCAGACATAGAAAATCATGGCTGTTGGATCAGGAATGCGCACTGGTACCTGCTGCACGAGTCCCGCCAGTTAGCCCGCAAAGCAGTCTGTGCCAAAACGGTACAAATTTAGCTTTTGGAGAAATTTCTG